GGAGGAGGGTTTGGAAAGAATTTCTAAAGCGATCATTGAACTAACTCTTAGACAAAGACTAGAACTTTTCCAGGTATAAGTGGGGGGAAAGCGTTCTATGGAAAGGAACACATATGCACTTGGTGATGGGGGGACATGCACACACACCTCAACTTTTTTTTTAATCTTTAAAAAAATTGTTTTGAGAGAGAGAGAGAGAGAGAGCAGGGGGAAGAGGGGGAGAGGGAGAGAGAGAACCCCAAGCAGGCTCCATGCTCAGCACAGAGCCTGACACGGGTCAGTCTCACGACCCTGAGATCATGACCTGAGCGGAAATCAAAAGTCAGACGCTTAACTGACTGAGCCACCCAGGCGCCCCCACACCTCAACTTTTAAAAAGCAACTCCTGGAGAGGAGGGGTTTTGTGTTTTGTTTGTTCGCTGTTGGATTCCCAATGCCTAGAACATGCTCCTGGCTCACAGGAAGCACCGGTAACAATTTGAATGATTAAACACAAAGGTCCTAAGTCTCCACATATTTAATTTTCACTGAAACTTTTCTTCTCAGCATGATATTAAAACAAACAGACCTAATTGTGAGTTCTGTGCTTTAAAGCATCGTATTCCTCCAAGAAATTAGCCAGTGGCCAGATTGTTCATTTAACACAGTGTATCTTAAAATATGGGTTTGGCGATATGAGACTGTCCCCTTTAAATCTGCCAGGATAGCTCAATGAAGTCCAGAGCCCTGGATTGATACATACTTACCCCAAACCTGCAACTCTATCCAAAGGTACAAATTATTGATGCTTCTTATAAACACATTGGTCTTTACAATAGAAACCCTGACAGGTTCTTCATTAAAATGTGAAGAACCAAATATCCCAGGCAGCATATTTCCTTCTGCTTTAGTTAAAATCAACTCTGCATACAAAATGATCAGGTTTGGTACTTTTCTGGTCATGTTCTCATATGTCACCCTATGCCAGATGCTTGCTCTTCTTTATTCTGGATGCCAAGGTGTACTTCATAGCGTCAGATACTTCCCCAAGGGTATCTCTGCATCTTCGCACTGGCCACAGCGACAGGTCTGGTTGTTGATTGAAAAGAAAGGACTTATGCCAAATTAGACCTCAGAACTGAGATTTCCTTCCTTTCAGAGCCACTTCTAAGGGAGCCATCCTACAGGATTTCCTTCCCAGCATCACCGCATACCTAGTCTGGTGTCATGTACCCTGTTAATTATATCCCTGGCCAGCTTGCTCTGGCCTCTGATCTGATAAAGCGGGGGGCTCCTCTAACCCATGTTCCTAATCAAGTGGACCAGAGATCATAGGCGTTTTAGAGAACAAAGGGACTTTGGAGATCACTTCTAGGAACACAAGCCTTCTAAACATTGAACATGCAGTAAAATAAGATAAAAACAGAGAGGGAGACAAACCGTCAGAGACTCTTAACTCTAGGGAACAAAGTGAGGGTTGCTGGGGAGGGGCTGGGGTAATTGGGTGATGGGCATTAAGGAGAGCACTTGATGTAATGAGTGCTGGGTGTTATATGCAACTGAGGAATCACCAAATTCTGCCCCTGTAACTAATAATACGCTGTGTGTTAACTAAATTGAATTTAAATAAAAAATTTTAAAAAACATTGAACATGCAAATGGTCTATTGTGTGATGGATGGAGAAGTTAAAATAGATAAAAATTTTAAAACCAAAGTTGACATGAATTTTCCTTTACTTCTCTTATCCCCAAATGCAATCTTTTAGATAGACTTGGGATTAAAAATAGCTCCCAAATTAACTTAATAAATGATGTTTTAACTTTTCTATTTGATCTCTGAGGTTATTGCTCTTCAACAATACTTTTTGGTTAAACAACCAGGCCTTCCAGTGTAGGAGAACTATTATCACAGAGTAGATTTGGCTAAAGAGTTGCCTAACTATGTTTGAGAAGCAAGGCCAATTTCACATCATAGTGCAAATAGTAGAGGTGTTAATTACAAGTCATTTCTCCCTGGACCTCAGTTTTCACATCTTTAAAAAGAGGGAATGGGACTCCAAATCTCTTCCAGGGTTAGGACTCTATTCAGTTTTAGGTCTTCCCCTCCAGAGCAGCTTTCAGGAGCTAGGGAAGGGCTATGGAGGAGAACTGAGGGCACAGAACATGCATAGTCACCCTCACTCTGCTTCTTACACACACGGGCACGCACACACACACATATCCTTTACGTGCTTCTCATCATGTTTAGATGCCTTTTGTTTCTAGGTGCATATTAGAATTAATTGTGTTGCTAGTGATAAACAAGCAGTGAAAAAATAATACCAAGTGACTGTCTAATACCACCTGAATGTAAGAGGATTTTTTAAAAAGATTTTGTTTATTTATTTGAGAGGGAGAGAGAGAGAGCATGAGCAGGGGGGCAGAGGGAGAGGGAGAAGCAGACTCCCCACTGAGCAAGGAGCCTGATGTAGGACTCAATCCCAGGACCCTGGGATCATGACGTGAGCCAAAGGCAGATGCTCAAGCAACTGAGCCACCCAGGCGCCCCCTAAGAGGTTTTTAAAATATGCTTCAGTTTTGTATTTTTGTAACTTTAGAAAAAAGTAGGGATACGATTTTGAATAAGAGTTTGGCACATTTTAGCTCAGTATATGTACAAATACTTCATTTGTTCATTGTGCACAGCCTTATTATCTGCAAACTTATTCTCTCTGCCAGGTGTTAGGTTAAACATTGGGCTTACAGAGGGACTATAGCTTGATATGGTTATTCATTGAAACGTTCATTAAGACACATTAAATAACAGTAGAGTTGAGATGGAAAGGGGAACAGAGGGGCACCTGGGTGGCCCCTCTGCCCCCCTGCTTGTGCTCTCTCTCGGTCTCTCTCTCTGTCAAATAAATAAAATCTTTAAAAAGGAGGCGGGGGAGGAGGACAGAAATATGTGAGATGACCCATGAGATTCCAGAAAGGAATTGACAGCTTTTACTTGAAGGTTACCGCCCGGAATCCTCTTGCCTCTCTCCAAAACATTGTGAACCTTACGGATTGAGCATTGAGCTGAATGTTTCTGAATTTGAAAACTTTATCTTTCTATTCATTTGTGCCTCGATTTCTCTGTAAAATATGCATTTTAAAATTTTTAGTTCTTACCTCAGGAGCATCCTTAGGGTTACTGTTTGTGGAAAGAAGCATACATTTGTTAAACGCCTTACACTTCAAAGACATTGTTGTTCTAAAATAGGGTGTGATTATTAGCTTTTAATACTTTGGCTTTGCATAAAAAGAAACATCTAACAACCATGTAGCATTTAACACACCAGGAATCCTATGTGTTCACATTTCTGTTCACAGTTTCGTCTTTTCTGTTTGTCTTTCTTCATTTCTTTAGTTTATATTGGTTATGGAGCAAAAAGGTGGAGGCTACAATTTTTATGAGTTAAACTCACAGCCAGCGGTCAGTGCTAAAGCTAGTATGAAGTGAATGCAAGCCACTGATGGGGAGGACATACATTCTTGGCATCTTGAGTGCATGTAGATGCACTGAGGGGCTGAGGCTAGGGCTGAGGATGGGGGCAGAACTTTATAAAATACATCAGGGTGTAGAAAAGATTTTGGTAAGCTGGCTCATGCAGGAATTGGAAATCAGTGAAAACACTGATCCCACATCATTTCATTCTGAACTATTGACTTCACTTATCTAAAGATTTCATTTGTTTTATTTAACATTCAGTGCCCTCCGTCACCACTCCCTTCAGGTCTTTCACAAAAATTGTCTTCCAAAAGGTATTTCCAAGTTTAATTAAACTTAGGTAAATATGAAAATCGAGGTTTGGTCTGCAGGGGAAGGGTGCAAGTAAGTTTCAAGTTCCAGGGAGATCATTACTGATGACTTGGAAGAACCTGACTGCAAAAGGGACTTATAAAAGAGATAAACATCTCTGGAGCAGGCTATTGCTTGTCCAGAGAGGTTTGAAAACCAGAAGGAGGTTTTGAAAGCCATTAACAGGTTAATAGGAAACCTGCAATTCTTGGTGGTTGAGACTAACTTGAGTGTGGGACTGTGTTTATAGGCAAACACTACCTGTGCTCCCAGCAGTAGAATCTTTATGAAGCTGAGATTGCAATTGTTAGTGAAAAAGAACCAAAAAATGAGGAGGGAGGAAGAGATGGGAATTATGAGCAGTGTCAAAACATACACATTTAGAAGAGATATATTGATTGACATTTTAGGTTGAAAAATAATGACGTTTCAGGAATTCCCATTTCCTAGATTTTGTGTATGAATAAATTTTAAAGGTATATGAGATTCATTGCCTTTGTTGTGATGGAGTAGAAAAGTTAGAAACTTTCATTTGCATAAATGAAAATATGATCTTGAGAAGACAATGATGAGACACCCTTGTTTGTTTTAGGGATCTGCAGACCAGACAAAGAGAAAAGCACACAAAGTATGAGTATAGGTGAAATATCACGCCATATGATTATGAACAGTATGAACACAGAATAAATAACTTTACTAGCAGAAATGTAGTTAATAATAAGCAATGTAAGTTCATTGCAAAGCCATAGTTATCATTTTTCCTCAATGGTAGTTCCCCATAAAAATTAAGTGATAAAGTACCTTAGTCTATTTGGTGCTAAATTTATTTATTTATTTATTTATTTAAAGATTTTATCTATCTATTTGAGAGAGAGAGAGAATGAGAGCCAGAGAGCATGAGAGGGAAGAGGGTCAGAGGGAGAAGCAGACTCCCTGTCGAGCAGGGAGCCCGACGCGGGACTCGATCCAGGGACTCCAGGATCATGACCTGAGCCGAAGGCAGGCGCTGAACCGACTGAGCCACCCAGGCGCCCTGGTGCTAAATTTAGAAAAAAAGTAACTTCACTTGCTCTTTGTATATAGCTACCAAATTTTTAGTGCCTGTGAGAGAATTCACGTATAGTATCATTTAATTAACAGCAATATTTGATAACTGACTCAGAGTAATTCTAACAACTCTTACCTTCTTGCTTTGCAGCTTGGCTCGTCCTCTTCTGTGCCTTTTACATCTATTTTTTCTCAGCTTTTTGTGACTGTTGTGGTTCCTCTCATTATTGGACAGGTAAGGTCTCCAATTTTATCTGCTGTTTTGTTTTTTTTTTCTTTTGTGAGTCAAATTGTGAATTCCGATATAATGTCAGGACAATTGAGAGAAAAGATAGAGAAAAAGACATAAAAGACTGTGAAACACCAGGTTTCATCCATCACCATAGTCCCACCTTTTTATTTTTTGATTTCATATCAATCTGCTTTGCAGATAGCTTTACATGGGGATGCCTGCACAGAATCTTGATTTTTTAATTTATTATCTGTACTTCGTGGCCATGTCGGTAGCTTAAAAAATACCTAGCAAATCATTTCCTTATTCTGTTCCTTCTGATAAAGTCTCAGCATTATGACTGTTGTTGGGAACAAGCATCTAGCTAGCTGGCTTCTTCGTGGACCCCTTCAGTAGCTGTGATCATATTTGTGATCATGTCATTAATAAAATGAACACTTAATTCTATTAGCTCTTAAAATTAGATCTTAGAAAATTTAGTTTCCTTTATCATTCTTATTGAATTAGACTAATGGGAGAAATTCTTATATTTAACTTCTTATAGCAGGTTAATAAGCATGTAATTGAATTATAACATACAAATGTAAAAACACAGGGACGGGGCACAGAATTGTGCCGCTAAGTTGAGTGAGTCTTAGGGAAATCGTGTATCAGGACGGTTGAGAGCACGGACGTTGGTTAAGGAGCAACGAGACTCTAGTTCTGAGTTTACCTTTTATTTGCTGTGTGACTTGGGGCAAGTCATTTGATCTCCTTAGCTCCAGGGTTATAATTTACCAAATTGTATAGTGATAGCACCTATCTCAGAGAGGAGTTGTGAAGATTAATTTAAATGTGGATGCAGATGAAGTTTTTGTCATCACAGAGCCTGCCACAGGTAAGTGCTCTATAGTGTCTATCATCATCATTTTCAAATTCCCTGTAAATACTAAATGAGAAGCAACTCTTTGAAATATTAAGTAGAAAAAAAATTATGTCTATGTACATATTACAGGTATATACATATAATATTTACACACTGTCTTAGGCTTGGTCCTCTGGGAAAGAGAGTGTGAGACAGAGGTTTCTGTGCAGGAAGTTTCCTCGAGGAGTGCCCTTGGGGTGAACACCTTTGGGAAAGTAAGAAAAGTAGGATGGGGAGAAGGTACAGCACAGCGTAGTTCCAGCAAAGGCCTCTACCTGCGCTGACCCCTCAGAACCATCCCACCGAAGACCAGAGTCTTACAGACTCTTGCACTGACCTCCCCGTGAGAGGTAAGATCTTGGGAGAGTCTACTGTCTTAGTAGCAATTCCCAAAGAGGAACACAACCAGGATCTCTGGGACAACCAACATGCCCTGCAGATGTGGGAATGAACACCTCATTCCAGGTGGCACACCACAGCATCCACTACATGTCTCCATTTTTTTTTTATTTTAATGTTATCCTTAGAAAATGGACTAAATTTAGGATAAGAGGGAAGGATTTAAAGGTACTCAAAGAATACCATTTAATTAAATGTAGAATGATACTTGGAAAAATACTTCCCCTACAGTGCTGCTCACATCAGGTATTCTGGCTAAACATTATGTCCCTTGCCTCGCTAACCTCTTTGCCACTTTCCTACACTCTCGCTTCCCTGGCTCTTCTCAATTCCTGCTTCATTTTTCTGTTTAGAGTATCTTTCCATCTACCCTCCCACCCCAACTCATTGATCATGTGACTCTTTAATTTATACCTTCTTTGCACCACCTATCTAAAGTATGTTTCCCTGGTTGTTCTTTATTGTAGCACCTTGATTCCTTTCTTGGCCTTTGCTACAATGTATACTTATCTTTTGCTTGCTTGTGACCTGTTTGTCTCCCCCATTAGACTGTAAGCTTCATGAGTACAGGAACCATATTTGTTTTGTTTACCATTACATAACCAGATGATAGGCACCCAATAATAATGTATGGAATGGGTGAGTGAGGGAAGGAATGGGTGAGTTCTATATCAGTAAGGGAAATGCTGTCTTACGGAGGCATAACAGAACCTACCTGCCCTTCTCAGCTCTAGACAGTTTAAGCTGTGGTTACTATTAGTTTAAACCCATACTTATTTTCTTGGTTCTGAAAATAATTCCATATAACTGAAGGCTCCCACATTCTTTTCTTAGTGTACCTTGGAAATATCTCTGTTGATAATAAATGTTTGGCTTCAAACATAATGGACAAAAAAAATACCTTTAGCTAAACTATTCAATGATATATATACATATTTTTATATATAGTTATATGATACTTAGTTACAAATATAGTTACATAATTAATGTAATGAAGAATATATATCCAGAGAGAATAATGAATTGTTAGATTGCTCATCATTGCTCGCCCAGTAGTAAAGTATTACGGTAAATTATAAAATAGTAAAGGTAGTCAAAAAGTAATATAGGTGGTTTTAAAAAATTCTTCCAGTACCAAAGTCCTTTAATGGCTTTTTTCAAAGAGGAAAACGTATTTGCATCTACCTACCCACCTCTTGTGTTCTAGTCTTAGGAATTAATAATCACAGCCCCGTGTCTCCACCTTTAGAAACCACCTGCCTCCTCTTTTTCTGTACAACCTCACTCCCTTACATCCAGGCGATCACTAAATGCGTCCGGTTCTGCCGCAGAAGTCCTTCACATCTGGCATCTGCGACCTCATCCACACCGTCATAGGGGATGCCACAGCTTAGTCATCTCTCGTCTAAATTATTGCACTTCCTGTCTCTCTGCTGTGAGCCTCTTCTCATTCCTAGCCAGTGTCTTCACTGCCTCCAGGGAAGCCCTAAGAAAAAGCAAGTGTTGTTCTTCCCCTTAAAAACGCGCCCCCCCCAACTTGCCCATTCCTTGTGTGGCCCACAAAGCCCTTCACAGTCTAGCCCCACCCTGCTGCTTCAGTGTCACCTCCCACTATCCCCTTCTAATGGCACCTCCTGTGCCAGGCCTCGTGCGCACCGCTCCCTCACCTGGCCACGCCCCTTCACTGCCCCCTGCCTTTCAACTTGAGGTTTGCGCCTTTCCTGCCAGTAAACTCCTACTCATTCCTTGAGACTCAGTACAAAGATGCCCTCTGGTGTGCAGTCGACCTGCTCTGACTCCCCCGTTCTAGACTAAATGCCAGTTCTCGCATGGTACTTGATTCATAATATTCATCAGGAGCGATTATAATTGATCTGGGATCTTCTGAGAAGCAGAGACAATTAGTATATTTAGTAGTTTAGTCAAAAGGAGGGTGTGAGCTGTATAAAAAGATTGGCTGAAAAAAACTTCAAATTTACCCTCATGGAGCCCCCAGTAGCTATTTTACCTAGATCTCCAGCTTTACTAGAGAGAAACACATAATTGGTCTCATCTTGTTTCAAATTTATGACCCCAAATTTAAAATGTCACTTAACACTTCCTAGAAATCCTACTGTACTTCCTTACAAGATTATTTCACTCTGTCTTGTATGTTGAGGTCTCTTTTACTTACCCTAATACTCTCCCACTTGCCCATTGCACTTGGGTCTCCCTGACTTTGCTTCTTTTTACTTACCCTAATGCTCTCCCATTTGCCCATTGCACTTGGGTCTCCCTGACTTTGCTTCTGTTTTGCAAACATGCCAGCTTTGATCCTGCCTTAAAAACTTTGTACCAGCTGTTCCTTCAGCTTGGAACACCTCACCTTTCACCTTCTCGGAAAGACCTTCCTTACCCCTCCTCCAGTGGCTGCCCAATAGTCAGTGTCATATCATCCAGTTTAAACCTCTACTTAGGATCATGATCTTCCTCTTGTTGATTTGTTTGTTGTTTTTCCTTTCTATTTATCTTCTTAAACGAGAATATAAGCTCTATGATACCAGGACCTTTTCTGCTCTTTTATGTCTGTATTCATATGTAATCAGTTGACTTACCTAAAATTTGTTATGTGATCTTTGAGGACCTTGTTAGAAGTACTCATATGTACTACTTCAGGGGAAGGAACCCAGGCAAGGTAGTCTCATCTCTCAATTGTAACTAGAGGTGGCACATTATGAAAATAAATATTTCTCTAGATATGTGTGTATATCTTTAAAAAGGGGATTTTATCATTACCTTTTAAATAAACAATGGGAACTAGAAGGAGAAGACAAAGACCAGGCAGGAAGAGTTGAAAATATTTTCCTTAATCTTCTAGTCATAATAAAGCTTCATTATTTAATTTTTTACTTATATTTCTGAGAGTTCATTTTATTTTATTTTTCTGTGTTTTCCCCATACAGTTCTTTTTGGTTGGACTCATTATTGACTGACTGCAATGTGATGCAGGGTCTAGTTTGATTTCTGCCACTGCCTGACTATACACACAACTTCTAGCCCTCACTTGCTTCGTTTGTAGAACAATGAGTTTCATATCTTCTAGCTCAAAGATGCTGTGACTGTGTGAAATAAGTCTTTCCATAGATGGCTGAGAGATTGCGTCGTCAGTTCTAGAAAGAAATAAAACACGTGTTATTGTAATTTTTCTTTTTTTTCCTGATAAACCCTTTGATACATCTAAATCCTTGTGATAATTACTTATTTCACGCATTATATTGAGAGATTTATGAATAAATGTTAATAAACTAGAACTTCTACCACCTTTGAAAAACATTTTTTAACAACAGCGTGCTAAGCCCCACCTTTTTTCTGTAAATTTTTGAGGTTGGCTTTTCATATTAAATAGTCTTCAGCTGAAGCTGAAGATAATGTTATTAATCCTAGCAAGATTTTGCATTTATAAAATGATATTCGATATGAACTATTTTCATTGCTTCACTTGAATTGCTCTGAGAGAAAAGTTGCATTATGCAGTAGGATATCCTGGTAAACAGTGTGTGATAGAAACATCACCAAATCAGGACTTGGAAATAAGAATATTTCCATTATTCACCATGTACAGGCCCTGGTTCTAAAGCATTTTATGTTTATCTAATAACTTAATCTTCCCTATGACTACTACTGGATCCATTTTACAGATGAGGCACAGGAAAGTTAAGGATTTGCCCAAGATTAGAAAGAAAGAAGCTCCAAAGTCCATACCTTTAACCATGATGCTCTGTTCCCTCAGGAGGTAGAGGTCATATTCCTTGCTCATACCCCCACCCCTCCCCAATGACTTTTTAACATTTTATGCCAGTTGTTTGGGCTCTCTGTGCCTTTGTTTTAAACTGTAAACTGAGCAGGATAATATCTGCAGACAATTTAAGTAATACTTTAGTAGATGATGGGTGTTTACTGTATCCCATGTATTTTTACTGTTTATACTTTTTAGATATTACTTTGAATCTACTCAATATTTAATAAAAATATTTTTAAAGAAAAGTGTTATATACATTGGATTTGATTTCATATCCCTGGCTATACATTTCAACAGACTTAAAGAAAAAGCAAACACTTTATGAAAATATATGGATTCAGTGGAATAGAGGATAAAACTTGAAGAAACAATCTAAAGTCACCTTGAAGAAAAAGAAATCTTTAAAATTCAGACTTAATATGAAAAATTATCCATCACATATCCCCACTCAAAAATCAATTTATAAATATAAAGACAGAGTAGAAGGAAAAAAAGCAAGAAAATGCCCTAGAAAAAAATTGGAGAAAACTAAAATGATGGATATTACACTTCTCAGTTATCTCAGTATATAAACATTCCTCACCTAAGACATATTTTCTCAGGTTTCCAGCTTGGAGGTCATACAGTAATTGATATGTGGCTCAGCTTATTAAAAGTACTGGGATTCAAGTCTAAGTTTCCCTTCTAAGCTCTCCTGGTGTTTAATTTAAAATAGAGAAAATCAAAATGAAGAAAGAGCTTCCTGAGGAAGACGTTTTTCCTTCCCACTCCATGGGGAACAGCAAGTCAATGAGGATTTGTCACCTGGTGTTGAATGCCTAACTTTCTGTGAGCTATGAGTGCAAATGAATTAGTATAGATCCCGAAGAAAGCCAAAGCTGGCCACCTTATCAAGCTGCTTTTTCCCACCTCATCTTGACTGTCCCCCCCGCCCCCCGAAGAGGGAATTCTGAGGCGTCTATATCAGGTTGGGTTGCTATCTCTAGCAAAGGCTTGTTTCCTATAAGGTTATTAAATGTTTCTACAAGGCAAAGAAATTTGGAGAATTTTAAAATGACATAGATTCTTGACAAGTGGAGGATGATTGTATAGAAGTGTAAGTGGCTGAACGAAGAGAGGATGGGGTTTCCTGACGTTTATATCCAAAGCGTATCTTTTTTTTTTTTTAAGATTTTATTTATTTGACAGAGAGAGATACAGTGAGAGAGGGAACACAAGCAGGGGGAAAGCGTATCTTTAAGGCATATCAATGTGACTTCACCCAGTAGTTTATGAAAGATTTTAACACTTTTCTTGCTACACGGTTGCAGAAGCAGCTGCTTTGTGAATTTAATTTTAGAAGCAGATAGAACAGCTCTACGGGGCCTGGCAAAGCTATAAAATGGTTTGCTTAGAAAACACAGACAAATATCACTACAAAACTAAAAACAGTGAAAGACGATCTCTTTTCCCCTAGGGTTATTGCTTCGCTTGTGGGTTTGTCCAATTTCCAACTTTCTAGTTGTTTTCTTTATCAAGATTAAGTATCCAGCATTAACACATTGATGTGTTTAGAAGAAAGACATTTTGGCTAAGAGGATGCAGGACTTAGGAGTCCATGTTTCCTGCCATATTGAAAGAGTCCTTCTATACTCTGAGACTCTGAGTACTTTGTACTGAAGAAAGAGGTAATTAGGTCAACTAAGTCAAATTGCAGCTTATAAAGTAGATTGATGATTAGAGATTTGTCTTGGTTTTAAAATGGCTTTGACTTTCAGTTATACCTCATTCCTATTTATCTGTTTATTTTGTCAGTGGGGTCACTGGTGGTAGAAGACACTTCTACTTTGGGAATTGGTATCATACATTCTATAAACTATTGCAGAGAGAGGACTTTTGTGTCTTTAATCATTGTATATTAAAACATGATTGGAGGACAGCATCAATTTCAGTAACTCTGTGTAACTTCCATTTATTTTATTTCCTAAAGGAGTTGAGTTGTATTAAATTTGGGCAACTACTAGTTTTATGCTACCAAACATAATAGATTATGAAATAACCTCTTAACTGAAGTCTCTCTGTAGCCTTCTAGTAAGCAGTTACTCCCACGGGGACATACCTGAACATGGGGCCATCTGGGTACCTCAAGCACTATTATCCAAAATTTGTGTTCTAATGCATCAGCCCAATAACATTGTGTGGCAGAACTGCTCTTACTTTTCTCTACCTTACTACAGTTTTCTTAAGTAATCTCTATGCCCAGTGTGGGGCTTGAACCCATAACCCTGAGATCAAGAGTCCCATGCTCTACCGACTGAGCCAGCCAGGCGTCCCTATCTCTTAGTTCATTTTAACCTTAAAGAAAGAAATGAATAAAATAAATTACTATGATTTGGGATCACATCTACAAAAAGAAAAACCGTAAGTTTTTTTTTTATAAATCCAGCTGTAATTTTAATTACAAGATCTTTTTTTTTTTAAATATTTAACCACGGTTTATCTACATATATAAAAAAACACTGTTTCTCTTTCATTCCCAGCCCACCCGGCCTTCAAGGTGTTATTCCTGTACTTTGTACCAACTGGTCAGCTTTCTACCAGTATTTCCTTTATTAATACTAGAGTTTCACTTGCTGAGTCCTTGAGAATGGATGAAGTTGATCTAATAGCCATTTGTTTAAAGGTTCTCTTGAGAGTAGTTTACTTTGTTCTTGAGTATCTGTGAAGGTATGCTCCATTGCGAATTAAACCTTTTTAGCCACAGAGTAGAAGATGACAGAACCCCATCAGCCTTGTCAGGAGAAGTTCCCTGACCTCATTATTGCTAATGGATCATGGTAATTCAGCCTGTTGTGAAATCTCATGTTCAATTATGCAGGATAATGAGTGACTCGAAACTTAATATGTCTCAACCGTAGTCCTTATTACAGGGTTTGTTCGGCTTCTTTCAAAAGTGTAAGGTTTTAAGTAGAGTGGTTCACTTTTATATCCAAGCAAAAGTTATCACCAAAATCAACCCGTCCTGATTTTAAATATCTGATTTGATTTTTAAAGAAGAGAGGATTGCTGTGTAACTTTATTCACTCATCCTTTTGTAGGAGAGTTAGGACAGGTTTATTCATTTTTAAGTGTTAATTCTGGAATTCTAAAAGCATGCAAATGGCATTTGTCTTTGGATTCACAAAAACTCTAGATATTCAGAGTTTGAATTATTTAAACTCCCACAACACATGCACTTTTGCTTTTCAAGCATGAGTTATAATTTAATTAAAAACTTCTGGTGCTTTGCTTGCATTTTAAATATTAATATGTTCCATGGATCACTTTCGATTATCTACTGTCTTGAAATTCTTGAAGATGTCAGATTTTTAAGATTCCCAAAGTTGCACTTGGAATTGTCTGTTGAGGCAAAGGGGACTGTGATAATTACACACATCCATTAGGATCAGCAGAGGAGAAAAACTTTGGGGAGGCTTAATGGGCACGTCTCAGTGACAGCTAGCAAAGAGCATTTGGCATGATTAGGGATGGATTTGAATGCAGTTGAAAATACACTCTCATTATGGACACCAGTGGAGTTAACTACAAATGTTAAATCCCCCAGAAGAAGAGTGGTGTGGCAGGGAAGCTTTGAAATCCACTGGGGCCTTCATCCAAATTATTCTCTTTCCTTTATGTCTTTCTGCTGTCAGAATCACTTTGCAATGCCCAACTCAACTCCCTACATCTTCGAAAAGAGGCAACCTGTTGATCTCTGTATTTCAGATTGTCCGAAGATACATCAAGGATTGGCTTGAAAGAAAGAAACCGCCTTTTGGTGCTGTCAGCAGCAGTGTGCTCCTCATGATCATCTACACCACCTTCTGCGACACGTTCTCTAACCCAAACATTGACCTGGATACATTCAGCCTTATTCTCATACTGTTCATGAGTAAGTGGGAAGAGGGGACATTCTTGCTATCCCCTCAGTCTCCTCAGGAGCAAAGCATAGCAATTTGTGTCCCCTAAATTCATTTCGAATGTTAATTTGATTAGAAAAGAATACTGAGCTTCATCTTATATGTGCTCAGTGACTTTATCATGTGTGTCTGTTCTTTAAGAAGACGTCAGTTATGTATTTATGATTTAATGTCCTTTGTTTTTTATGTTTGATTTATAATAGTTGATGCCAGATGAAAGAAGCCATGGGATCTGTCACATTCAAATGTTAGATTGAGCACTTTTTTGCCAGTTTATTTTACTATAACTTTGAGCTAATCTTACCCTTTATTGTGAGTTAAAAGTAGGATTTATTTACTAAATACTGTCATTTTCTAAGTATAATACTTGACCGAATTAGTTAAAATGTGGATATTTACATCATCTTTTCTATTAAAATACACCCACGGTAGTATCATTTCATTTTAAGAAGTGGCAAACTCTGAGGTGCCAGGAAACTGCAAGGATCAAATATCAGCCTTTTGTTCTGTTTATCCTGTAATACCAATGACAACTTCGTAATTATAATACCTAAGAATCTTTTGTTATTAAAATCAACATGAGTTATTCCAAAATATATATTAGATGCTACTGCAGTTATGCTATTTGCTGTAAATACTCCTAGCATAAACCAGCTCCTTCTAAATTGAACAAATTAAATAACCAAGTCTCAAATCAAGGAGGGTTTTAGATTTGCAGAGTAGTAGACATCATACATGATGCCTGGGGATATCTTCCATAAGGACAAGTTGAGTCCCACTAACTTCAGTGATTCTGTTGGTTTAGCAATGTGTGTGTGTATTTCTACCTGCGTTCCCATAAGTTGAAGATAGAACTAAGCATGCCAGTAACTACGCTACAGATATTTTTATACCCCTAATTTAGATTCAATCTTTTTTCTTTCAGTATTCTCTATTCAGCTGAGTTTTATGCTCTTAACCTTCCTCTTTTCAACAAGGTAAGTGGTACGGTGGCTCTTATTGTTGTTAGTTTTCTAAATGACAAATCGTGCTATGTACTTGGTTTCTGTGCCACTATGCTATTCCAGTGTGTCTCCGGTCTCCTGACCATTCCATCTTGCTCCTGCCACCCTCAGGTTGTAGACATTCCCAAAGGGTTTGTCTGTGGCCCTTGTGTCATCTGCTCACATCACGTGCTTAGGTGGCCTCCTCCATTCTGCTGGCTCGAGCTGTGAGCTTCCTGCTGATGATTTTCAAGCCTAGACCTTCCATTCCAATGTTTCTCCTGAGTCCCAGCACTATTTATCACTAACTATTTAGATATCTTCACCTGTCTTAAGAAGACCTCAGTCTCAAGATGGAATTAAATTTTTTCCCCAGTACTTCCTCTTTCTCTCTCATTTCTTTATTGTTAATGGAATCACCATCCACATGGTTACTTAGACTGGAATCCTTTGCATCATTATTTTTAAAATGTCTTGGTCCTACCTCTCTAGTCCTTTCTGTGCTCCCAAAGCCACTTTCCTAATTCAGGCTCTTGTTGCCTCTTTTCTCCCTGGACCGTTGCAGTGGATATCCTACAAGTATCTTCATTTCTAAAATGAATTTTTCTTATGCATTTCATATTGCTTCCAATAACTCAAAGTTCTCATAATAGTCTCTTATCACAATAGCTTCCTAATAGCTCTCATCAGAGATCTTCAAGGATTCCTGTAGAATGAAGTTCATTTTGGGGGGCTAAGTGAACCACAGCATTCATGCTGTCTAAGCTTTAGATTGAGGGGAGAATCTTTGCCGTTTCCTGGAGGAACCTCATGCATTCTCATTTCTGTTCCTTGCTTAGGCTAGCCTCATTAAATTGGTCTCTGTGCCCTGGTTCATCTTTCCTGTTCTTAAAGGCTCACCTCTAATGCAGCTTCTTCCACCAGTGTTGTACATTCAACCAATATTACTTAACTTCGGTATGAGGAAGTTACCACAGTGAGGACCACAAAGGAGAGATGATTCTGACCTTGCATGAGTTTGTAGCCTAGATATATGTGTGATAACTCACTGTCCTCTCAGTGAACAGTGAGCCAACCAGTAGTCAATTCAAAGGAAAAAGCACTTCCAGAGAGAGTGGTAGAGCAAGGCTTCATGGAAGAGATGGGATTTGACATGAGTTATAAAGAATGGCTAATTATTTCAGCAGACCAGCAAACCGAGATGCAGAGGGGAGCTTCTTGGTGGGGAAAAAACCCAATATGCAAATGTGGGACACACAAACACACACGCACACGGTGGGACAATAGGAGCAGAAAAAGATTAAAAAATAGTAACAGTAACTAGAAAGGCAGGCTTAGGCCAGATTGCCAGGTGATGGCAGTGAGTTGCCACAAGGGAAAAGGCCCAGGGTTTTTGTTTCAGTTTTTGTTTTTGTTTGAAGAGAGAGTGTGCACAAGCACACGCGAGCAGGTGGGGTGGGGGGAAGGGACAGGGAGAGAGAGAATCTGAAGCAGGCTCCACGCTTAGCCCAGAACCTGACGCAGGGCTGGATCTCAGGACCTCGAGATCATGACCTGCGCTAAAACCAGGGGTCGGACACTTGACCGACTGCGCCATGCAGACGGCCTGGCCCGGGTTGTTTTTGAGATCGAAACAATGGCAGAGCAGTGGCTTGTTCTGGCCTCGCGTTCAGCACTTGGCCCTTACAGCGCTTGGCATAGCATGAGGCTGATTGTCAGCAGTCAATAGAAATTTATTGATTGGTGTAATCTGAACCATTTTCCCTAGCTTGTGGTTGTGATTTATAAAGAGGGAAGCCCGGAGCCATTAAGACCCTGAGAAAATGTGACTTAAATGGGTAGTGTAGGAGTCGGGGCTATTTTAAAGTTCTTTTTGTAAATGGTTTGTTACATCGCCCTAGAAAAGATGTTTGCCTTTCACCGGCTGTTTGTGTGCTGGTCCGTGGGGCAGAAGTCCTATCAAAGCCACTCCTCCTATCCTGTCAGACTGGGTAGGATGCAGATGTCCGGTCAGTGACTGAAAACGTGCCGAAAAGCACAGAATGGCCGCCGCTAGAATGGCTGAAGGAGGGGTGGGGCCGGGATGGCGTCACAACTGGTTGAATTAAAAGTGAGAATTTTCAGTGTGGAGTAGACTGGATTTGCAGAAGGCCTTGAGATCTTAAGACCCTTTTATTCGATGAAGTTCTCTTGCATTTTGGACTTGCTCAACCGATGGTCAGACCTGCACATTCTTTGATAAACAGCAGAATAGGGAGTGGCTATAATCATGCCCCTCCCAAAATGTTCCATTGAAAATCAGGGCTTTTTCAATTGAACAAAATTCAGAAGGTGGTTGTTTGTTTGTTTTTTTCACTATGAGAGACCTCATTTGTGCCTAACTAAGGATTTTATTGGAGCAATAAAAGATACCAACGTTTACGGAGCCCTGCTCTGTGGCAGGCACTGTGCTAGGGACTATATGTATGTTCTTTCATGAAAGTCTGACAGCAAAGACTATGATACGATACATTTTTGTTGCTATTTTGCTGATGAGGACCTGTACTTAGAGTAGTTTAGTTTAATAGCTTGCCTAAAATCAGATTTTAGTAGTTTAATAACAGATGGCAAAGAGTACGTGTGGAATTGAAATCCATTTCCATTTGACATTTGCCCACACTTTTTCCACTGCACTAAACTGCTTCAGTTACTTTTAAAATTCCTAAGTGCTTGATTTGGTTAGGGAATCTGTAGAGAGTATTTAACTGGATTCTTCAAGTTCACTCACACAAACAAATTAGTCAAAGACACCAAGAGTGTGAACTAGGACCCCTTGGTTTATACTCTGCTGAGTTTCATTTTCTCTTCCTATTTTTTGTTTCTTTCTACTTAAAATTAGTGAAATTGGCCTGTGGTTTGTTTCTCATCTTTTTCTTACCGATTCATTAAATCTAAAACCCGTCCAGATATCAAGAGACAAAAATCTCAGCATGGAAATCAGTCTCTCTTTTTTTTTTACAGTATGCCACTGACCCCTGATGATGGAAGTTTAGCATAAACCAGGAGAGACCCAGCTGAGAAAATTCAGCTTTCCTACAACACTCCTCTTACCTGGTTAACATTTCTTAGATTTACTGACCTGACATGTTAGCTTTCTAGTGTCTGGCATGTGAACTACTACTTTGAGTATTTAAAATACATTTTAGAGTTACTACTCTGTGTTCTTATGTGTCGACCGAATAATGTCAGGGCTAAAAATTCCAATTCTAGAGTCAGACAGACATGAGTTTCAATCCTACTTAATAACTGTGACTTTTGTCATTCCTCATTTATAAAATGGGGATAGTAGTAGGACCTACCTCATAGAGTCATTTGGTGAATTGAATAATATGCACAGAAAGTCCTCATCACAACACCTAGCGTATACTAAGTGCTCAATAAATGTTAGCAACTGTCAAATATTTATTATACCAAAACAGTGTATCTATATTATTGCACAAACTAATGATGGAAGAGAAGAAATTAGCATTTCTAGCTTCGTAGTACATTCTCTTTGATGTTACACTGTCACAGATGCTAGGAGACAAGACTTGATTCATCAAACCAAGAGTCAGCTGTCCAGAGTACCCTGTCCACAGTCCGCAACCTGGGGAAGCTGTCAGAGTTAAAATAAAATGTTGAAAAGGTTAAGAAAAAGAAAGTAGTAATTGTGAGCCTTTAAAAAATACATAAGACAGTTTGGAAAGCTGATAACTAGAGTAATAGAAACCCAGAATATCACTGGAGTGACAAAAGAAACTATTGAGAAAGAAAAAAAAAGAAGAAAACAAATGTTGAATATTTGTATAGGTGTTTTCATCCCTGTCTCAGTACATTTTTAATCGGATGTCTCAATCGGCTGCTCATTGTAGCCCCGGGAAGGAGGTGTGGGAGGCAGCGAGGGAGGGGGGGAAGAAGGCAGGTATTAGTATTAATGGTAAGTCTTACCATTTCAGACATGAGGCAACTAAGCCACAGAGCTCTGGGTAACTTGTTTAATGGCACACAGCTAATGACAGATGAGGGCTTCTCCTAAAATTAAGTAAAGACAAAACACAGGTACAGAGGTTAACAAAAGAAAGTATTTCACATGGAAGTTTCCTCCTCTAAAAACAGTGGGCTTAGGTGGAACTCTCTCAGAGGACCTTTTCTGCTCCACATTCTGTGATTCTACTAGTAAAACCTTCTGACATGTTTTCCTTTGTGAATACTGCAGAGAAAGGCAAGATAAATATTATGTGGAAAACACTGATTGAAAGCTTTGTAAAAGAGCATAAAAAGACCAGTTGGGAAGAAAAGGAAATAAACATCTCAAGGGGAGCCAAAGTGATCAAAAGAATTATAAAAACAGGATAAAAAGGAAGTCAATATTAAAAAGAGATAAGGTAGAGTTAGAAAATAAATAGTAATGTGATTCCTTTCAAGAGCATGAACAGACATAATAGAGATGTTAATCACTGAAAATAATTATAATCATTACCACTTAAATATAATGCATAGGATGCTTCCTTTTTCTGGGTGTTATCATGACTTTCTGCCATTAGGCCACTGCTTGACAGAGCGTGGCTGAAGGAAGGTTACTTACCAAGGTAGCGGCTCTCATCCACTAAAGTGTGTGGTGGTGTTTTGGTTTTGGTTTTGGTTTTCTTAATTTCCTTCTCAGAAAGTAGGCTTGTCTCCAGTTCGGGGCAGCCTACTTATTGGCAGTGTGTGGCTTGAGAGAAGTTGTTTACCCTTGTTGTGCTTCAAGTTCCCTTTTCAGAAAAAGCAAGCAATAGTAGTACCCTGGGGCTTCTAAGGCTGTTCCAAGAAGAAGGAAATACTGAGAGTAGAGTGCTTAGAAGAATGCTCAGTGTTTCCCGCTGTGGTGATTCATCAGCACCATCCTCCTCGTGAACGGAGGCCTCGGTGAGCATTTGCTCTATTGACTTTCCCCACGGCCCGGGTTATGGAGCAGTCTGTTTCTCTACAGATGGAGTATTTAGGGAGAATATTGTTTTAACCTTTAATGGTCCATTTTTATGTGCTGACACTCCCTCCCCACTGACGGACCCTGTGTCAGTAGAACCGTAGGGCAGCGTTCCAACTCAGATCGGGCTGGAAACTTGCCCGCGCAGGCCTAGCTTCAGCCACCTTACCTGAAACAGGACAAGGAAGCAGGGCCAGCAGATATCCTTCTTAGCCACACTGTAAGTGCTGCTCTGACCCATGACAGCCAAGGCCAGAGTAAATCAGAGCCTTCTCGGCCAGAGAGATTTTGACACACTGGAAATGTGCTACAGCCTGGAAAAGAGCAAGGTATCAAGCAGAACAAAGTTCACTGAAGGAGAAGTGTGTTGCCGGACTGTGGTGGAAAAAAAATGAACCGCATAATCCAGATGCAGCAACAATGGGTTATAAACAAGGGCAGCAAAAGACTACAAAGGCCTTTGTAGCGTCACCAACACCACAAGCACGGCTGGAGAACAGCCTCAACCTAGGCCAGTTTGTGATGCCACGTGCTCTGCAAGCGCAGGTGGGCCTTCATTCCTGTAGAAGGGGTTTATTAACTGTGAATTGACTCTATTTCTTACTCCCCAGTCTGCCTCTTTCAAGTTTTCCTAATCTTTTAGGTTCCCAGGCCTCAGCATTACCTCCAGCTCTGTGGATGAGTGAAGTGCCTCATGCTTTACAAAGAAAGTGAAATCTCTGACATAAATTGCCTCTCCTTTCCCAGTCTCTACCTGAGAATTTTCCGTATTTTTCACTCACCCTGTCTTCTTTTGTGTCTAGTTCATGGACTAGAAAATAAGCCCTGTCAGGCTAATCCCACAGCCTGGGCCTCTCTGACCTCTCTAAGGACCTGGTTTCATCAGTTGTTTCTACACTGGGTCTTCACACTCTCTGCATGGTCACGTTCAGATTCCCATGAACTTTTTCTTCTCTTTACCAGAGTTCTTGAAAAAACGGTACCCTCTCATTAATACACATTCCGTTCGCTCTTTGGCCTCCTCCCCAGGCCCCATTGGGCCTCCCCTTCCCTTCCCTATTTCCATTAACGCCCTAGTGCGGCTCTTAATGCTATGTGCCCAAAGCTTCTCGTTTCTCTTTCATTCTTCCTCCTCTGTCAAAGTAACAGTAACAATAAAAAGATCAGCTAGCTTGTGTTAAACACTTGCAATGTGCCAAATTCTTAACAAACAATGCTATTTATCCTCACAATGGCCCCTAAGAGGCCAGCAGTATTATCCCCATTTTCTATGTAAGCAAAAGGATGGTCTGGATTGAAATTCAGGTGGGTCTTCCCCCAAACCCTGTGCTCTTAAGCTGCTGGGAGGGAATATTTCACAGAGGTCAACATTTGGCAAGTTCATTTAATTCTGTCTTCATGTCTCTTACCAGCATCCCTGCCCTCACTGTGATTCTTCAGGCCCTGACAGCTTTCTGCTTCCTGCCCAGCCTCATCATCACCAGTCTTTCTTATACTGCACTGGGTGGTTATTCCTCCCAACCTCCTTAGCCCGTCTTGTCACGTCCACACTCCTGGTCACACACCAGCGTCCCTGCACTCAAGTCAGCCTGAAGAGTCTGCTCTTTGCCAGCTGCCCCCTACACGCCCAGATACCAGTCTCACTGCCCCTTACCTGAAATACACACCCACCCACGTCTAAACCTGTCCTTTAAAGCCAGCTCAATGGTTATTTCCTTCAAGAAGGTTCTCTGTGTGCTCCATCATTATCCTGCATTCCTTACCAAGCTTGAGATAATCCTTTTCTTTGGTGCCATAACCCTCCCAACCCCCTTTTTTTCTCTCTTTCTCAATCTCCCTCATATATATACATGTATATATATGTATATACACATATATACATATATATACACACACACACGATGAACAAAGGGATCAAGGAATATGTCAGCCGTGTAGTTCAGTGTTTAAAAGGAAAAATGATATCACAATATAAATATGATGATAAAATGTGGGAACAGTAAGGCAATCTTATTATACTCAAGCGATACATATCCATGAGAATCCTCCATTGAGGTGAGACACCAAAAACTGTTCGGGAAGTTGTTATCCAAAAAGAGAAGGAGGTAAGACTGGTTAGGAAGCATGAGCACACATGACTTTTCAGAGGAGAGAAGACCAAAGGGCAATTTTCATATTCTCTTAACACGGGGATGAGGAGGAAGAGGAGGCCCTTCTCCCCTCCAGTGAATACATAACAAAGAAAACAGGATGTGTGGATCTATTGAGGGAAGATTTTTCTCCCAGTGAAAGTTATAGTGAGGATGAGGTTACTAAGGAAAGCGGTGGGATCACTTTCTTTAGAGATCTTTAAAAATTGGATTGATTGTTATATCCACAACTATACATATAGAGTCAGGTTCTGGAGTGTTTTCCATTTGCTAACTCAGGGCAGGGAATGAATAGACTCACTGTAACTTCAAATCCTGATTCTGTAGGAAGAAATAGTTTCTAACATATCAAGCACACTAACAACAACAACATTTCTAATCCTTTTGGCTCCTGGTTCTCTAAATCTTTATGTCCTAAAATAGAAAATCTGAATATGAAATTCACCAGTACTGACCCCCATGGCACTTAATGGGTTTTAGCTAAGTGAGTTTTTTTTTTAAAGCTTAACATATTGGATATAACATAGGGATATTGTATCGCTTACCTTATGGGATAGTTCTCTTCAAATGTACAGAACTTAGAGGAGTATCTGATACATAGTAACAGCTCAAGGAACGAAAACTTGTTATTTTTACTGAAACATGTGATGTTAAATCTTTGTTCATACCATGTACTCCTCCAGAGGGTGTGTTCGCTGCCAGAAAGGTCGGCTGCTTCTTGAGGGAAGCAATTATGGAGATACATTAACTCTTTCAAGCCACTGGAATTAATATCAAGTGATAGCCTAGTAACTTTGCTAACACAGGTCCCCACTGCATGATTTTCACAAAGCCAGAGACCTCACCACACATTTTTTAGAAGAACTTTATTTTTAATAACCAATAACTAGATACAGTGCCACTGTCCTTCCATAGGTGAATGGTTAAACAAATTATAATACATACATATCATGGAATGCTATTTAGCAATAAGAGTAACAAACTATTGATACAGCACCTTGGAATTATGTCTAGGGAACAATGCTGAGGGAAAAAAGCCGATCCCAAAAGGTTACATACCGTATCATTCCACACACAGAACATTTTGAAATGAAAAATTTTTTGAACAGCTTGGTGGTTGCCAGAGGTTAGGAATGGGGGATAGGGAGAGGAGCATGGGGAAGTGGGGAGAAGTGGTGTCCCTCACACATTTTTAAGACATTTTCTTCATGGATAAATGACTCAGGAATGATTCTCTAAAAAGAAATTCAGACACTTCTCTACATTTGGGCATAGAATTACTTCTGTCACCAGGATTGATCAAAAGGATGTTAACATGAAGGTAGGTACTACATTTGATTTAGGATGTGTTAAGTAGGCTTTTTATACAAGTATTTGTAAAACACTCTTTTTGCCCCTAGGAATAATTCGGGTTTCACACCAGCAGACACTGTGGCTATCATTTTCTGTTCTACACACAAATCCCTCACACTGGGTAAGTGATTCGCAGAGTTAAAAACCAGCTTCATATTATCTTCAGACAGTTACATCTTATGATTTTGAAATTTAAGCAACTCTTCAAATTAAATGGAATGGAATATTGTCCACTCCGTTAGATAAAGAACGAAAGCAAGGTGAGGATGGGGCATTCCTTTTAAATGCCATTATTTGGTTGAACCAACTTTTGAAGGCCTAAATTTAACAGTGTAGGATTTAGCTTAATTTGTAATTATGTTTGTGATTCTCATAAAAGGGTTTCAATGTAGAATGTGAACATTAAAAGCCGGGGGAGGGGGTGGCAGGGATGGGGAAGGGTGGAGAACTTCTAAAAAGGAATGGGCAAAAACTTGGCTTTGGAAGGCTCTAGAGTTGCCCCTGGAAAATGTTAACTTATTTTTTGGAAGCTTGGAGTGAGGTAGAAATATTGTTAACTCTAATCTGATACTGACATTAAAGTTCATTTCAGAATATTATTTCTATAAAGAAACCCAATGTAGTTATCATTAATTTAATCTGATTAGCACCTAAAGTGAAATATGTGTTTATTTAATGGACTAAAGTAGATCAAGAAGAAAACTGCTGTTTTCTACTAAGCTTTATCCGTTGTAGTGGCATTGTCCTAATAACCTGTCCAGGAATCTGAATCCATGCTTTTAGTCATTAAAAGTCATTAAGTAATCAGGAACTTCTTGAAATATACATCATTCACAAACTCCTTGAGGTAGTCGTCACATTGTGGTAAAAACTCGCATTAAAAATTTCTTTACATTTTGTCATGAGACTTACTTAAGAGAGTGAAAAATCATGACATTGCTCTGTCTATTCACGTTAAAGAAGTTCAGTCTGTAAGCTAAAAAACAAAGATATTTCATAATGTTTTTACTAACCCCAAGCATATTTGTTTAGATAGAATCTATTGTCAGTCTTGCCAAGTTTGGAAAATGATTTTGAAATTGGACAGACTCTTTAAGGAGCACTTGCTATCTAGGGTTTCAGCTTATTTGAATAAACAACATACAGTTGACCCTTGAATAATGCAGGTTGGGGCTTAGGGGAACCACCCCCCTGCATAGTCAAAAATCCATATATAACTTTTGACTCCCCAAAAACTTAGCTACCAATAGCCTACTATTGATGAGAGGCCTTACTGGTAACAGTCAACTAACACATATTTTGTATGTTATATGTATATACTGTGTTCTTACAATAAAATCATTAGAGAAAAGAAAATGTTATTCAGAAAATCATAAGGAAGGGCGCCTGGGTGGCTCAGTCGGTTAAGCGTCTGCCTTCGGCTCAGGTCATGATCCCAGGGTCCTGGGGTCGAGTCCCGATCGGGCTCCCTGCTCTGTGGGGAGCCTGCTTCTCCCTCTCCCACTCCCCCTGCTTGTGTTCCTGCTCTCGCTGTCTCTCTCTCTGTCAAATGAATAAATAAAATCTTTAAAAAAAAAAATCATAAGGAAGAGAAAATAGATTTACAGCCCTGTACCGTGTTTATCGAAAAAAAGATCCACATATAAGTGGACCCATGTGGTTCAAACCCATGTTGTTCGAGGGTTAACTATATTGAATGTCTGTACCTTGCAGTATTTCTGTTAGGCTTTCTTCATAATATCATTAAATCAAAGTTGAGAGAGCTTTGGAAGCCACATTCCAATCCTGACTTTGTGACTCTGGACAAATCACTTAACCTCCCTGACCCTTAGCTTTCTCATCTGTAAAATGGGGTAGCATAATCCTCACTTTATACAGTTTATTAAGATTAAAGATAAAATGTGTTAAGTACCCAGCACAGTACTTGTACATAATAGGTAGTCAGTACCCGGCAGAATGTGTACAATCATTGCACTGTGTGTAGACTGATAGGGACTAAATTCTGTAGCCCGCCTAGCTGTTGTTATTAGTTATCAGTAACTATATTAGTTACGACTGTGTTACTGTTTCCAGGATTCCAGTCCCCTGACCCCTTGTCCTCTAGATTTTCATGTAATAGGTGTGGTTTAATTTTTGACTTCAAAGAAATCATCTTGCACTACCTGCCCCCGCCCCCCGCACCCCCGTGCTGTTGCTGTGCTGTAATGTCTAGTGCTCCAGGTCTCCTAAAAGCTAAGGCCCTCTTATAAAGGTAGGGGGTCCAGAGGCAAGAGCTGCCAGGTGCCTCAGGTGTCCAGAGCCAGAGATCAAATGAGCCCGTGACCTAAGATGCAATGGGCTTTTAAATCCCAGACACTCCCACGGGTTTGCTTTCCAAAAACCGAAAGGGCTGTTTTGTGTCTCTACAATGTTCTTCTGTGCTGGAGCTGACCGTGTTGAGCAAATTGCTCAACCCAAGAAGCATACTGCAGCACCGTCAGTATTCTTTCCTTTTCTATAAGTAAAATACCTACCCATTAGATCTTTTTCTTTTGTGTCTTTTTCTTTTTCTTAATCTCAAAGCAATATTCTTCTGTTCTTGACACTTTCTGAAACCTGATTTTCAGGCAAACCGGGACTCTGAACACCAGTCAGAGGTAGCTGTTTTGCTAAAAAGGGTTGAGTTAACTTGACTTTTGTCTGCTTATGTACTTTGTTTTTGCAGTGTTCTCCTGTGAAATAGATCTTAGATCCTCCAGTAAGGTACTACCGTGGAATCTAAGTAACTGTAGAGTCTAAATCCTTAGTTACTTTCATAACATGATAGCCATGAGCACTCTTAGAATTGCAAGACCTAAATACTTGTCCTCACTCTTCCACTGAGACATCCCCAGGCTTCAGTTTCCTTAGCTCTTAGATTCGGGAATTTTACTTCCAACCTGACTAGTCTATCGTTGCCTTGATCATACCTGACTTCCTTCCTGCAGGCTCCCAGGTAGCATTTATAAATATGACCTCTTTGCTACTTATCTCAGTGAGGTGACATGGATTGCCCTTGTTCCAGCAGCACCCTTATTTCTACCTGTAGCAAGGGGTGTTTGGCTCAACATCACTAGAATGGTATTGGCAAGCCCTATAATTTCACTGTATCCATTTTCACAAAATGCAAAGCGTGCTCCCCTCCCCTGGTGACCTGACATCCCTGGTATAGAGGATGTGCCATGATAGTCGCCTGAGCTACAGGCCAATAATTATCCTAAGGGAACTCTTGTCTGCATGGAAATGAAAGAACATCACGCTAAGTGTGAAAAATTCACATTCCAGAAAGCAGGGAACATATTTCAGATAATATCACTCAGAGTTCTACTATCTCTCACCTCTCACACAAAGATGAAATGCAATGGATTATAATATATCTATTTGGAATTTAGAAAAAATATCTAACCCTTTTGAGATCACTATCAAAATATTTCTTCTAGTGATTTTATACACACACAATAAACACATACGTATGTATGTAACACCTCCAATAGAATACATTAAGTAAGCCTTGTGAAATACCATTCATTATTATATACAGTATTTGTATTCAAGAATAAATCATTGTAGGCCAAGTGGTACCCAGGTAACTAATGAAGCAAAGATGAAAACTCTCGCTTGAGAAGCCTTCTGAATATTCTCTTGCACACACACTTCAGTTTATTTTATTGTTCGTGCTTTTGCCCTGTCTCAATCTCTTCAGTGTACTTGCATCTACACAGATGCTGAATTTGATTCATTGCTTTTATTAGTGCATTTGCCATTGATTGATTAGTTCTTCGTATTAGTACTTTTTCTATTGATTGATTGCAGATGAAGTGACTATTTGACCTTTAATTATGAGGCTTCCTATTGAAAATGACATTGAGCTATGGCTTCACATAATCCATCTGGAAAGTCTGACATGATGCCATTCCCTGGAGTTTGTTCAGGAAGAAAGAGGAGGCCTGAAGGAAGCACGGAGCTATCTCTGTGCTTCATCTAAAACAATACTACAGGGCTTGTTTGTTGCTCTCCTAGAGCTTCAACTCAGGGTTGGAGGTAATTTTATATTTTGTCAAGACAGCATCACTTGCTGTGGATTGCCGTAAAAGCCATGAACTCTCCCAAATTCTTCTCTAGTTTGATGCTGATTTTTGTATAATAATAATCTGTGTCATCAAATGACAAGATATTTTACATAGCAGAGATTGAAGAACAGCTTGTACCCTGGTTCACAATGGCTCAGTCCACAGTCAGTCAATAGATCTCATCAAGAAAGAAATTGGATCCAAGACACTGTGTGGAATTAGTATTTTACTTTTATTTTATTTATCCTTTTCTCTTGAGTATTCAAATCACTTTGCTTATCTAGAGTTCTGATGTACATAAAAAACATTCTCACAACGCCAAGAAAGAGAATGTTTCAGGAAGTTTGAGGTCCTTAAGTGTATGTTTATGTTCGTTTATGATGTTTTTATTTTTTTATTTTTATTTTTTTTAAGATTTTTATTTATATATTTGACAAAGAGAGTGACAGTGAGAGAAGGAACACAAGCAGAGGTGGGTGGTGGGAGAGGGAGAAGCAGGCTTCCCGCTGAGCAGGGAGCCCGATGCAGGGCTCAATCCCAGGACCCTGGCGTCGTGACCTGAGCTGAAGGCAGACGCTTAACTGACTGAGCCACCCGGGTGCCCCATGTGATGTTTTTAAATAGCACAATGAAAGCACACACTCTCATAACATGGCAGCTGACAATTGGCAGTCAACTGTGAGATTCTCAGTCGTTTCTTCTTTCCAAAAGCAGGTCTGAATTGGAATAATGCTATTGAAATTTTAGAGTATCATGATCGACGCTTATTAAAAGTCCACCATATGTCTTACCATTGGTAGACACCACGTACAAAGGCGAATCAAGGCAGGTATTCCCTCATGCTGTTTATCCTTCATTATGAGGCTATGGTGGCAGCCACACAGCTGAGTTGTGACAAGAAACTATGTGCTAAGCAAAAAGAATATACCTTTTTGGTAAGGCATGGGATTCTGCAAAGAGTGGGAAGAACACATCCCTGATTCTAGCCTGGATGCAAGTTCCAATTCTCTCACCAAAAGCTGAAAGAGATCAT